TGTATGTATGTGTGTATGTATGTATGTATGTATGTATATACATATAATAATCATAATAAATAAATGCGAATTTAGTAACAAACATTATTTACGAAGCTCTATCATCGTCTAGTATGATTTTTCCTGATTTTAAATTTTGAAATATTATGTTTTTTATATTTTCGTTTTCTGACAAATAGAATAGTATTAAACATGAAAATAAAATCTTAGACTGCATTTCAGCAAGTATGCTTTGAATTTCAAGAAATCTTCATGAAATATTAAAGAATTATATTAAATAAATAACAAAGTTTTGTTATTATCATAATACTGATAGGCAAAGTAGTTTATAGAAAAATTTCGAATAATATTTTGATTAATAAGCGTAATTTTTAACGAATTACAGAATTTTAATGAACTACAGAATTTATGTCATTTGTCATAACCAATGTATAATTATAATAAAATTGTTTAGGGTGAATGAGGATATATAATAATTTTAATAATAACATTTTAATATTAATAATAATTTAAAATAAGTTGAAAATTTATTTAGTTAAAAATTGTTTTTAAACGTAAAACCATGTATTAATAATTTTTAAATTTTAATTTACTCTATATTAGAAAAAGTTGTGATCCATAAAACACGGATAGAGATACTCTTTCTGATATACAATAAAATGATTTAGGCTAGTTACTAGCTACATTTTGGTATTTCATTTCGGTGTAATTACAACACTGTAATCTCAAAAATCATATTGCTGGCGAATTCACTAGTTTCCCAACTCACCGTCGTTTAAACGTAGAGTGCGCTACAAACTATTGAGTATTTTAGTATGTCGGTATTTCAGGTCACGGGTCACGAAAGTCCGTAAGATGCAATGTCTATTCATTTATTTCGTCTGTGGTTTGGCCACAGACAAAGTATACGAATAGATATTGCATCTTACAAACTTTCTTGGCCCGTGATCTGAAATACCGACACACTAAAAATCACTGGTTTTTTAGCGCACTCTACGTTTAGCAACGGTGAGTTGGGGAACTAATGTATGAATCAGCAACACGATTTTGACAGTGTTGTCAAACTTTCAATACTGAATTGTGAAACTAGTAATCATACACGAAGTAATCGAAATCATTCTACTCTATATATATTAGAAAGAAGTCTATCCATGTTTTACGGACTTCTCACAACTTTTTTCAATATGTAGTAAATAAAAATTTTAAAATTATTAATACATGGTTTTATAAATATAAATTTTCAACCATTTTAAATTATTATTGATATTAAAATATTAAAATTGTTATATTTCCTCTATATTTATAGAATGCATGAAACATGTAGTTCATGCATAAATATCATATGTTTCCATGTTATAAAGTTAAATTCTTAATTTAATAAAAGTTTGTCCTTTCCCACTTTTCTTAAAGAAATATTCTTCTTGAAAAAATTCGTTGCGTGAACATTAACTTGATTATAAAACTTTGAAAAATTTATAAAATTCATTTATATTCATCATTTTAAAATGTATTAAAATTTTGTTAAATAATCTTTATGTCCTTATTTTTTAATTACGTTGCTTATTTTACATAAAGGAAAATAAAAATTCAATTCAAATGCTCATGTTTTATAATAAGATAGAAATATTAGAAATAAATTATTAATTATTAATGATTTTTAATATCTCTTAGTGTTTATGAAATCCATACTAAGTATCATTTATTGCTATTATTATTAGAATTTCATCAGTACTTCTATTTTTTAATTCTTTTGAATGTTTGTTAAAATTATCAAAGTTTAAAAATTTAATACCAAATGGAGAATATATATCAAAGAGCATTCATCTTTAAATATTTATATATTTCTCGATATATTCATTCGATATATTGTAATATGCCTTTCTTGGACTTCCAATAATTATTTTTGGTAAGTAACTTAGACTTATCTGTACGATAGTCTAATATAAATTAAACACTCAAAGAGTTAAATATATCAATATAAATTATATTATCAATAAAATATTTTATTATCAACACCTATTTATGAATATTGAGCGTTATTGGTACTTTTTTAAATTAAATTTCATAAAATATATATATATATATACTTACTTTAAATTCATTAGTTAGTTCATCTTCTTAAAGATCACTTTTTTTGAACGTTTTTCATACACAATAGAATATATATAACATTTCACTCTTCAGTATTAGTTTTGTTATTCGTTCTATGCCAGAACTTTTTCATCAAGTCATAACAAATCTAATTTAATATGCACTTGCATGGTTCTATAATTTTCTATGAAAATCAATCGTTATAAGAAAGTTTAGATTATATTTTCAACAACATTCTTTCCTTCGTTCCTACTTCTGTTTCTAGCTCTATAATCATTGTAATATTATTTGCAATATTTATGCGATCCCTGGGAACTCGAAACAAATGGTTGTTACCTCGTGGATAATTTGTACGTGTTTCTGCACGATTTTCGCGGAACGTTTCAGTTTATCATGAGACTGCCTCTAAGTAACATTCTTAGGAATTTCGGTCTCTCGTAAGTTTGTTAAACAACTATAGTAATGCGTGTTTGTACAAATTACGTGTGAAGTTTCTGTAGATAAAAAGGAAAGTCTAAAATAACATAAGCCTAGAAAGAATATAATTAATTCGTATATATACGATGGTATTAAATACAATTAGCCCGTCTGTTAAATTAGGCCTTCACTTTTGCGGTGTTTGGCCAGGAACATCATTCCAATACTTACATAAAATATGTTGGGTGATAGCGATAATTACTCTACAAACTTATCAATACAGATACATCGTTATGCATTGCAGTACTGATTCTCTTATGAATACAACAGATAATTTGAGCATCGCCGTGCCATTCAGTTTAGTGTTTATCAAATTAGTTGTCACCTGGATAAATTATGGGTAAGTTATCCTGGTTTCAACGAAACATAACTCTCTAAATGAAAATCACACATTTTCTTAACTTTTATAATTTTGTCGTATCATGTTTTTTTGTCCAACTTTTCCTTTAAATATCTGTTATTTTCAATTATTTCCAAATAATGGAAAAATTATGGTACTTTGGAAATATACGTATCATAATATATATGCATAAATATGATCGTTTTCCGAATAATGAAATGTAATATAATAATAATAAAAATGTTAAAGAATTGTTACCATTAAATAAAATTGATTCGTTATTTGTTTATTTCTAATTTTTGTATCTTGTATTTGGTATCTTTTAGAATTTCCAACATATGACAAATGAATACTAAATTACTTTATATCATGTTTACAAGCTATTAGTATTACACTATAGTTATATGCATTACATTAATAAATTTTTATTTCTATGAAAGGTTTTAAGTAAACATGATCGAATATATCCTGCATATATCTTTGCAATAGTCATTGAAAACAACTTGAAACAAAATGAAAGCTGTTTTCTATTGTTAAATAATTTCATCTAATAGATAGTCGTTTTGCCTTATTAATTTATCTAAAAATATATTTATTTTGTTCGACGTATAAAACGAAGATGGTTTTAAATAAAAATCTCTATAATAATTAACATTAATTTAATATATTAATATATTCCACAGTATATTTTGTGACATTTTATCAACCATGGAACAGGATTGTCAAAAATATGCTGAAATGGATGTAAATAATTTGATGTCGAAAACAGGGCAGGCCTCGTTTTATTTAACAAGCATGATCATGTCCTCGTATCTGGTGTCTGCGTTTTTTTATCTTACTGGTGCTATTGCATTCCAAGGAAACAACGATTCAACGTCTCGGGAACTTCTTTTTAAAATGGATCTACCTTTCGAGGCCAATGAATCTCCGAATTACGAACTTGTGGTAACTACACAATTTCTGATTCATTTCTCAGCTGCTCTCACATTTGGATCATTCACTGCTTTGCTTTTAATGGTGGTAAGTGTGATATGTATATTGTTGCTCTAGAAATAATTTTATTAAAAACATAAATCGAGTTGAACTAATTTTAAGTTCTTTTTTTTCATTATTTTATCGAAGCTAGTAGTTTTAATGGAATTATGAAATATATACACATTTCATTATATTTTTATTTTTCACTATATAAAAGTATATAAGATTTCAAAGCTCTCGACACTTTTGAATATAAATTTTCGAGACTCGAGGTATATTGATTTTATTTTGTAAGAGAAGTTTCTTGTTTCAACAACTGAACTTGATACTTCAATATACTAACTTTACTTATGATACTTATTTGTCGCATTGTTATTCTTTTTTCTTTTTCATGTGTAAGTAATTTCGTTCCTAGTTGTCATTATTTTCAATTATTTTTATTCGATAAAAATTAAAAATATTTATAGATTAATATTGCCATTTAGGGTTTCTCAACAAAATTCTTTCAATAATCTTTGGGATTCAAACGGTTAAAACTGAAGCTATAACAGTTCAATGCCTGATTGTTAAATATTTAAATACTCAAACCAGATCAGATTTTTGTTTTTTTTGATCTATTTGAATTAATACAGCAACATACTATTGCATTGAAATTATCATTTTTAGGTACTTCATGTAGGGTGTCAAATCGATATTATGTGCCAGAATTTAACGGATGTTCTATCCAAAAATGAAAATAAGTTGAAGCATTTTATCAGCAGATATCAAGAAATCATTATTTTCACAGAGAAAGTCGAGAAACTTTTTACTTACATAGCTCTTAGTCAGCTTGTGTCAAATACAATTAACACTTGCTGCGAAGGATTTCTCATTGTAATTGTAAGTAATCGTCGATTTGCGATATTTCATTTTCTCACTGTGTTAAAAACGAAACGAATATTACAGGCATTAAACGATGACAATGGACTTCCATTATTGATCAAGTCTGTTTTATTTTATGCAGTTATTTGTTTAGAAGTGTTTGTATATTGTTTCGCCGGAGAATATCTTCGTATCAAGGTTGTTAAATGAAATATATTTTTTTATTGCACTATATCAATCATGTACTGTACTGAGAAAATATACGAAATATTTGATAAATAATATTTAAGATTAATTAAGAGTAATTACTTAATTGTTTTTTTTTTTTTTTTATAA